CCTCTGTTTTGCTGAGAAGGAAGCTCAGGCTCAGAGAGGTTACGTTGCACAATCTGTAAGGTGAAACCAGGAGTCAAATGTAGGTCTTTCTAATGCTAGAGCCACTTAACCACAACCTTACTAACTCCTATAAGGTATGGTTCAGAATTCACTTATACGAAATGTTCCAGGGATTTTCCCAGGGAAGAAATTGCTTAGGAATCCAGAAGCTCTTGGTTCTGGGACCACATATCCCCTGTTCCCAAGGATAAACTTATGGTGTTCCCATCTATCAATGTCTCCAAAGGCTGTAGGAACAAACCTAAGGGATACCCTATGTCAAAAAACTCATCACCAACATTCACAATAGCTCATATTTGTTGATAACTCATAATATACCTGAAACTATGCTAAATAACTAATTTTATTATTTAATTGTCTCTTTAGACTCAGGGATGGGAACCAACTAGTCTGTGGGCCATATATGGCTGTTTGGTCTGGCCCTGCCAAGGCAGGTGCAACTCAAAATTCAATAAATCTAGGAGCTTTTTTCATAGCTAATTTTTAAGTCGATAATTTTCTATGGCCCAAGAATGATATAAATATCCAAATGGCCCTTGGCAGAAAAAAGTTGCCCCACCCCTGAGTGGCACATAGTGCAGGGTTCAGAGGGACCTAAACTGGCTCCAGGTGGTTGCGAGGGAGATTTTCAAAGTTTGTCATTTTATACCTTCAGGTTTTGAAACAGAAGCAAATGTACAAAAAATAAAGAAGAACCAATATTTAAAAGTACAACAGAGCTCTATTATTTTCGTATGGACTATATTTTACACAGTATCTGGGAAAGCTTGTGCACTGCTGTTGCTGGGTAGCCACCTGGGTGAGCAGCACTTGCCCAGCGCTCAGTCCCAGGGAGCGACAGCACCCGCCTGCCCGCACAGTCCTGCCCGCAGCGTGTCGCCGACCACAGACGGTACCCGCCGGGGGTGCAGAGTAAACAGTTACTGGGGAGTACAATGCACACAGGAAGCAACCGGAAATACTTGCAAGATCCCATAAGGCATCTGCACAAAATCAACTGAAGGAACATTTGACTGCGCAGGAAATGACCCTCCGGGTCAGCAGGCGGCGCTCAGACCCAGCCGCGCCGCAGCCCAGCGCCCTGCCGGCTGCCCCGGCGCCCGCTCCTCCCCTGCCCCTGCTTGTGTCACCTCGGCCCAAGGGTCGGCCGAAGAACTGCCTGCCCCAGCTCCAGGAACCCACCGTGGGCCCGCGGCCGTGGCGGGCGCGGAGGTGAGCTCTGCGGCCGGGAGCAGTGTAGTCCTCGCGGGGCGCACCCAGGAGCCGGGC